GCCAGGTGAGAGAGCACAAGGCCCTGAGTTCAAGACCCAGGACTGGAATGCGTGTGTGCGCATGTGCGTGCCCATGCAACGTCAAGACCGTATCTCCTAGAGGCACATGAGAGGGCCAGAGGGTAGGCAAAGGCTGGAGAAGGTAGATTGTCTGCCTTGCACTTAGTGATGAGCCAAGTGAGAAGCTGAGACTTGGAAGCCAGGTTCTGCTGCTGGCATGTCTGTGCTCTGGCTACCTGCCTTCTGTCTGTCTGTCTGTCTTTCTATCCATCCATCCCAAGTGGACAGGTCAGAGTGTGTCAGCACATGAACAAGAACAACTCAAGAGCCCATCAAGTGGCAGGGTATTGGGGACAAGGCAGTAAGAACCGTTTGATTATTGAAAGACAACACAATGCCCCCGTGCCTCATGACTGGGGTCTGTGGAAGTCAGGCTTGGAACCCAGCCCCTGAACGGCCTCAGGTCCTGTCTTTCCATGACTCCGAGAGTAGAGGCATGCACAATGCAAGCCATCTGGGGGGGTGGGGAGGGAGTAGTGACACCTGTCCTCTCCAGTCATTTCTAATGTCAACCTTTCTTCCAGAGTTACCCTGTGGATGGTTTGTCTGCCGCCCTTGTCAGTCCTATATTAGGCAGCACTGTTTCCTCTAATGGCCCCCATGCCCCTCCAAGCCACCCAAGAGATCCTCTTTCCCTGGAGTTTCCAAAACCAGCAGCTCCCCACTGGGGATGCCTGACCTCTCCATGCAACCCACCAGTATCCCCAGATGCAGTCTTCCACCAAATCCCAGAGAAACGAATCCAGCTCTTTATTCCCATCGAAGCCCACCTGCGCTCAAGACTAGTGATGGCCTTTATGGTGAGCAGAGGAGGTGAGCCTTGGCCACTCCTTCCCCGCAGTGGCTGGGAGGAAGGGCAGGGCATGGAACCTGCTTTCTCTAGTGATGTGAATTGTGCCATCTCCTTCTGGGGAGATTTCCGTTCTTGGCCCTCTCCGCTCCAGGCTGGGAGGTCTCCTTTGTTACCTCCTGTTATGGAGGCTGGAAAAGCCAAGTAGAGTCATCTCTCAGTATCAGCAGGGACAGTGTTTCTAGGACCTCCCCAGATACCAGAATCTATCCGGTCTCCTTGTATAGAATGGTGTAGTATTTGCATGCTGTGTCTGTGGTTCAACTGCAAAATTGAGATATCTCTAGATGGTTTATTTTTATTTATTATTTTTTTTGGGTCTGGTCGTGGGGCCTGAACTCTGGGCCTGAGCACTGTCCCTCAGCTCTTCAGCTCAAGGCAAGTGCCCTACCACTTGAGCCACAGTGCCACTTCCGGCTTTTTTCTTTTTGCTTATGTGGTGCTGAGGAATCGAACCAAGGGCCTCAGGCATGCAAGGCAAGCACTCTACCACTGAGCCACCTTCCCAGCCCCTCTAGATGGTTTATAATCCCTAATAAAGTATAAATGCTATGCAAGTAGTTGTTATAGTATATTGTTTAGAGGATAACAGTCCAAACATGTCTGTACAGGCACATTTTCCCCATATATATACATATATATATTTATTTATAGATATTGTGTGTGTGCCAGGTCTTGGGCTTGAACTCAGGGCCAGGGCACTGTCCCTGTGCTCTTTTGCTCAAGGCTGGCACCCTACCACTTGAGCCACAGCTCCATGTCTATCTCTTCCCTAGTTAATTGGAGATAAGAGTCTCAGTTTCCTGCTCAGGTTAACTTGGAACTGTGGTCTTCAGATCTCAGCCTCCTGATTAGCTAGCATTATAGGCATGAACCATCAGGGCCCAGCTCCCAAATGTTTTTGATGTGTGTCACCAACACAGGGGGCTGACTATATTTACTTCCCAGGCTCCCTTGCAGATGGAGGTAGCTATGTGATGTGTTGAGCAATGGGATGCCTCAAGGCTTCATGGAAGATGTTAGCTTCCTGAGGAGAGGCTGAGAGCCCTTTTCTGCCAGAACACAGATGTCATCTGTGGAGCAGTGGTAGCCAGTTCCCAGCTCATGGCAGCAAGCGTGAGAAATGAGGCCAGTGTGCTGGACAGGAAACCAAGAGCTGGGTCCCTGATGGCTTTGTTGAAGGAACAAGCCAGTGAAACCATCACTGCTTCTTGGAGTCTTTCTATGTGAAAAAAAGACAGGATTGTTTGCTTAAGCTGTGGTTTTCTGTCCTTCCAGCACTGTTTTCCTATTGGATTCCCTGCTCCGTGAGAGGGTGGGCAGGCCTGTTGGAATGGAGAAAGTGGAGGCCACCTGTGGCTGGGTGTGACATTTTGGGAAGACCTGAAGCCACCTGTGTTGGTCTTGATACACCAGTCATCCCTGGAGGCTGGTTCACAACCCACTGCCAACAGCACCACCGTGTGGCAGGCAGCAGCAACGAGCGTGGCAGAAGGTCTCAGCTGCCTGACCCCTCTGGTCTCTGCGGGCATGGCAGGATGAATCCAGAGATGTTCTGAGCTCCTAGCTCTGCAGGTTTCCCTGTTCCCAGGGGAGCACTGAAGACTTGCATCCTGAAGTTTTGGGCACTTCATACAAGGAAGTAGAACAACTTAGGATGATCTTTTTTTTTTTTTGGTCGGTCGTGGGGCTTGAACTCTGGGTTTGGGCGCTGTCCCTCAGCTCTTCAGCTCAAGGCCAGTGCTCTACCACTTGAGCCACAGCACCACTTCCGGTTTTCTAGCAGTTTATTGGAGATAAGAGTCTCAAGAACTTTCCTGCCCGGGCTGGCTTTGAACCACGATCCTCAGATCTCAGCCTCCTGAGTAGCTAGGATTACAGGCGTGAGCCACTGGCGCCCGGCCTTAGGATGATCTTTAAATTAAAATGGTTGTTCTTTTTCCCCGTGAGATTAAAACCTCACCTAAGATTAAAAACCTCACCTGAAGCCGGGCACCGGTGGCTCACGCCTGTAATCCTACTCAGGAGGCTGAGATCTGAGGATCTTGGTTCAAAGACAGCCTGGGCAGGAAAGTCTATGAGACTCTTATCTCCAATTAACCACTAGAAAACCGGAAGTGGTGCTGTGGCTCCAGCGGTAGAGCACTCGCCTTGAGCTGAAGAGCTGAGGGACAGCGTCCAGGCCCAGAGTTCAAGCCCCACGACCGACACACACACACACACACACACACACACACAAACCTCACCTGTTTTGGGGGGGGGGGAGAAGGGAAGGAGGGGGAAGGGAAGGAAAGAGAAAAAAATGAGGGAGGGAGGGGGTAACAAGTTAGACAAGACATGTACTCACTACCTTACTTATGTAACTGTACCCTTCTGTGCATCACCTTGACAATAACATTCTTTAAAAAAATTAAAAAGATTTACAAAAACCCACAAACCTCACCTGCTTATCCATCAGAGCCAAAAGGTTGCCCTCCAGGGGAAATGGGTTGAACTGTGAAGACACTGAGTCTACAATGAAGAGGTGAATAATTGGGCCAGTGTACCCTGTTCCCATCCTCTCTCCACCTTGCCACGTTTGGGTGCAAGAGACCTGGACATGAACCCCCTCTGGGGGCCTCAGGGACTCATTTGTGTGTGTGTGTGTGTTGCTACTGGCCTGAACTCAGAGCCTGAGTGCTCTATCGCTCAAGACTGGTGCTCTACCACTTGCATCACAGCTCTACTTCCAGCTTTTGGGTGGTTTACTGCAGATAAGAGTCTCAGACTTTCCTTCCAACCAAGATCCTCCTATCTCAGCAGTTCAAGTAGCTAGGATTACAGGCGTGAGCCACTGACACAGCTAGAGACCCATCTCGCATAGCCCAGGCTCACCAATGAGGAATGGCTAATTAATCATTCCTTAAATTTACAGGATACAGATGAGCACCTTTCCTGCGACTTGCAAATTCAATGTTACTGCACCAGGTGAGCCAGAGTATCATCCACGCCTCGTGCAGATCAAGAGCCAAGAGCCAAGGGAGGCAGCTCACCCAAGGTCACACTGAGGAAACACACCTCCCAAACTCAGCGAAACAACAGACATTTATTCTCTCACAGTTTCTGGGGGTCCAGAATGCAGGAGCTAGTGAGCAGGGCAGTGCCGGGCAGTCTGGACTCTAAGACTTCCCTGGGGCCGACGTCTTATCGGGAGACCCCAGTGGGAGAGAGAGGACTTGCTTCCAAGTCACCCGTGCGGCTGCGGACAGGAGGCCTGGCGTGTGGCTTCTCCCTGGGCCTCAGCAGCTCAGCTGGCTCTCCCGAGTGCCAGCCGCACCCGAAGCTGCGTCTTTGAAATGCCATGCCACCCCAGGCTGCGAACGGAGGCGGTGGAAACCACATCTCCCAGCTCCTGCCGCCTCCCGCTCGGGCCCCTGGGATGGAACCCAGGGTGGGCTTCAATTGGAGTAGGGTTGCCAGAGACAGTAACTGAAAACACAGGTGCCCAGTGAAATGTGAATTTCCTACCAACAATACCTCGGAATACACAGGTGCCAAATGTCCTACCGCACCCCTCCTTTGGGAAGGAGGAGGAATACGTGGGGTGGGGACCTTTTTCGGTGCCGAGTAGTCCTCTGGGATTGTGTGTGTGACCGCAGCCAGGCGGGGTAGGGGTGGGGGGGGGGTATCTTGGAGGATGTTAAGCCTGCCACACCCCCTCCAACCACCAGCTTCCCAGAGGGATGATCCAGATAGGCCCAGGCAGAAAAGGCTGGAAATGACACTGAGCCTGCTGCTCCCACACAGTGCCTGAGCCTCCCTCCCTTCCCCCCCAGCCACCCCCCCCAGTCAGGTAGCTCAGATTCCTGCCTGCAAGCGGAGGCAAGAGAAGAAGAAGCTCCCTGTCCCCATCCCTGGCCTGAGAGCAAGCCCCCTGTATCCCCCCAAATTTCAGGGGGCTCCTTCTGCCCATGTCCACACTCAGTCCATCTCAGGATTCTAGGGTTCCAGCTTGAGGAAGGGGGTGTCTGCCTTGCCCCTGTAGGAGCAGCTGGGCACAGGCTCAGGGCCCAGAGCTGACCTCCCTCCCACTCTGGTGTCCCGGCCCGTCCTAGATGAAGCGCCTGTCTCTCTCGTCGTAGGAGAAGGGATCCCCGGGGAAAGGCTGGGGCGGGGGCTGGTTGTAGACTCCCTGCAGGAAGATCCAGGCCGTCCCCACCGCCATGACGGGCGTCACCACAAACAGGCAGAGGCGGTCCATCGTGCGGGCCACCTGGTTCCAGCTATCCTTCTCCTGGGGGGTGGGGGGGCAGACACGGGGTAAGGGGACCCTCAGATTGCAGACCCACAACCTCAAGCCTAGGCCAGTAATAGAGTCAGAGGCCTGGCCTCCTGTGTCTCATGGGGCCACCGTGGGCTGGCTGCAGGCAAGAGGGCTGGGACATTGTCCTGGGGCCCCAAGCAGGGCTGGTTACTGTGCCAGGCCTGAGGAGGCAGGGCCGTGGCTGCCTTCCCTCCTTAGTGAGGGGTTTCGGGGACTGCGGACAGTGGTGGTCCCCCTCTCTTCTCTCTTAGCCCTGAGATACCCAGACAACAAGTCCTGAATCCTTGTGTGACGTGGGGAAAAAAAAATGCCCTTTTGGGGGCTGGGAAGGTGGCTCAGTGGTAGAGTGCTTGCCTCGCAAGCATGAGGCCCTGGGTTCGATTCCTCAGCACCACATTAGCAGAAAAAAGCCAGAAGTGGTGCTGTGGCTCAAGTGATAGGGTGCTAGCCTTGAGCTGAAGAGCTGAGGGATAGCGCCCAGGCCCAGAGTTCAAGCCCCACGACTGACAAAAAAAAAAAAATCCTTTTTTGGGGGGGTCAAAGGAGAATTATTTCAAGATAACCATTACAGCTACACTTTAAACGTCTGGCTTTGGAGTATCAATGTTGGGTTTGGGCGGGGTTAGGAATGATTGGCAGCTAGGAGAAAGGAGGGAGGCTTAACTGGTGGCCTGGCAGGGTAGGGCCCCTGAGTGTGTAAGAGCCCCGCCCCCCATGCTGCTGTGGCCTTCTGTGCACGAGTCTCTCCATCCCTGGGAAATGGTGCACCTGGGAATCTGCACCCACTGTGAATTCCCTCATCTAAGTTGGTCTGTGTATGTGAGGGGACCCAGTGGCTCCCTGAACCCCGGTGCACACCTGTGGCCACTCACCTCATTGTAATTGTTCTGATCCCGCATGTGGTTGACGATGAAGTTTGCTCCATCTACGGCCGGCTTCAGCTCATTGAAGAGTTCCTGCTGGGCCTGCTCAGAACTTGCTGGAGGCCGACCTATGGACATGGGCCACAAGAGATGATGCTCCCCGCTCCCCCTCCCCTGGATGGGCCTTGCCCCAAGGCTACCAGAGACCCACGTGCGGTGGTGAGACGCCGGGCTAGCCCATGCCGTTCGGACTGCTTCTCGAACATTAGGTCACTGCGGGACTTGAGGGAGAAGTACTCCTCAGCTTTAGAGATGTAGCCCAGGGAGCTGCTCCTCCGGATCAAGGCCCTGGGGCCGGGGCTTTCGTCTGCTGGGCGGGACATGTGCAGGAGCTTCGGCAGGGTCTCCACGAAGAGCTTTGGCAGCCAAGGGGACATGAGAAAGGCGATTTTACGAATGTGGGGGTGGCCTTGGCACCTCCGAATGCGCCTGACTCTGTCCTTGGCTGTCACACACTGCTCCTTCCTTCCCACTGATCTATCTGTGCACCGTCTCCAGCCCCCTGCTGATGGACGCTCCAGATAGCCCTCACTACTCACAGCCCAGAGCAGAAGCTAGTCACTGAACATAGATAGTGAAAACCAAAAAGTAAGCCAGGTGTGGTGGTGTATGCCTATAATCCCAGCACTTGGAAGGCTGAGGCTGAAGCGTCAAGGGTTAAAGGCCTAGTTGGGTACAGATGGTTCACACCTGTACCTGTATACTTTGTCCTCACTTTTTTTTTCTTTTTCTCTCTTTCTTTCATCTTCCTCTTCCTCCTCTCCATCCTCTTCTTTCCTTTTTTTTTTTTTTTTTTTTGTTCCCAAAAGCACAATGCTTTTGCTCAAGGCTAGAATTCTACCAGTTGAGCCACAGCTCCATTTCTGGCCTTTGGGTGGTTAAGTAGAGATCAGAGTGTCACAGACTTTCCTCCCTCTTAGAATCTGGAGTAGCTAGGATTACAGGTGGCACCTGGCTCTCTCTTTTTTGTGTGTACTAGGGCCTAATGCTCTCACTTGGCTTTTTCCCTCAAGGCTGGTACTCTATCATTTGAGCCACATCTCTACTTCTAGCTTTTTGCTGGTTAATTGGAGATAGAGTGTCAGAGGCTTTTAAGCCATGGCTGGCTTTGAACCACAATCCTCAAATCTCAACCTCCTGAGTAGTTAGGATTACTGAGCCACTGGTGTCTGGTACTCACTTAAAAAAATATATATAGCTTTTGCAGTGCAGAGAATGGAAGCCAAGACCTCACTCATGCTAGACGCTTCCGTCTTCTTATTTGACAAAACCCTAGGCAAAACCTTCCTTCCTTGTGTTTGACACGGAATACTGGATGAATCTTACAGTGGCATCTATGCAGAGTAAGGTAGCAACGTCCCTCCCTCGGCCCCCACCCCTCTTGCCTTCCCAATTTCCAGCAAACAGGCTGTGTGTCTGTCCTTGAACTCCGGGCGTGTGTTCTTCGGGCCTGGCCTCTCTCCTGCCCTAGGTGCTCCGAGCTTCTGCACGGCTGAGCATGCATCACCAGCCCCTTACCCCTTCCATTTCCCCGCAGCTTTTGGCTGTTGCTCACCTTCTTGACCGCATCGGACAGCACATGGGTGCTGGGCGTTCGGAAGTGGACGTTGAGCACGATGACACAGATCACCACAACCATGGTGACCAGCACCATGCCGAAGAGCAGAAACCTGTGGGCACAAGCTCAGCCTGGTGCCCAGGGACGGGAGGGGCGGGGCCTGAAGTGGGGCGGGGCCATGCGCCTTTGCCAATCAGCAGGGTCTGGGTGAAGACCTGAAGTGGGCGGGGCTACGCTCACTTGCCAATCAGCGGAACCTGGGTGGGTGAGTGGGCGGGGCTGGCTACACTCACTTGCCAATCAGCGGGATGGCCATGGATGTGGCCGGCAGCCGCTTGGAGATGAGCAGCAGGAAGACGGACTGGGCCAGGAGCACTGAGATGGCCACCGAGGTCTTCTCGCCGCCTGGGGAGTCAGATCTAGCTGTAGCCTCAGACCTCGAGCACACAAGAGCCCTCTAGGGGCCACACCGTGTCCTGATAAACGCTGTGGTATCATAGGCTGCAGGGAGGGAGGACCTGGGTATATCAAATCCTGGCTGTCACTTACTGGCTGGGTGATCTAGACAAGTAGCACAACCTCTCTGTGCCTGTGCTCTCAACTGTTTCATGTTAGGGGAATGTGCATTAACAGACACTCTTCCTGGACTTGGGTAATCACTGCCCCCATAGCTCTTCTGAAGCACAGCTCTGTATGTGTGGCTCCTGCCCCAAAAGCACCTCAGTCTCTTCCTAGGGCCAGGACAGTACCCCACCAAACAGCCCTTCCCATAAACCGACAGCCCAGGTGACCTGTCCTTCCACACGAACTCCTACACACCAGTCCCACCTGTTCTGCCCCAGCCTCCTTCGTGGACATATTCTGGTTTTACCCCAGTCCCCAACATGGGCAGGGACTAGGTAGTCTTTGTCCCCGGGACCCACTGGGGCCTGTTTTCAATAACTATTCAGACTGGTTTCTGTGCCCCTCCTGCCAGCTTCCTGGAGAGATGCCGTATCCACCGGCTGGGTCATCCCTGGGCGCCCCTAGGTGCCAAGCCCGTAGCCCCTGCCAAGGTGAGCATGGCGGGCGGAAGCAGTGGAGCTCACAGTCGCCAGGGAGGTAGAAGACCAGGTTGATCATGAAGGAGATGAGCACGCAGGGGACCAGGATGTTGATGATGTAGAAGAGAGGCTTGCGGCGGATGATGAGGTAGAAGGTGACGTCCTGGTGGCTGGTGCTGTCCAGCGGGGCGCTGGGGTCCACGTTGACCCTGGCTGGCCGGTGCACTATCTCCCACTCCCCGTTCTCTGCGGATGGCACAGGGACAGCTTAGGATCTGCCCCGGCCTGGGGGCACAAGGGGACTGGGGCAGGATGAGGAGCTGAGGTGGAACTGGGCCAGGGGCCCAGCAGGAGGCCCGGGAGGATGTGAGGTTCGGAGGGGGCATCCGGCTGGCAGGGAGGGGCTCAGTCTGTGAGTGGCCCACGTAGGGTTCCAATAAGGAGAGTGTTTTGGCTCAAAAGATGTCCTGGGGCTGGGATGTGGCTCAGTGGCAAAGCTCTTGCCTAGCAAGTGGCATATCCTGGGTTCAATCCAGAAAAGGCAAAAAATACAGTCAAAAAAAACCCCAAACAAACAAATAAGATATCCTGACCTCAAACTAGGTCATGTGCAGATTAAAACAAAACTCTCTCAGTCTTTAAATTTGTTTTCTAGTTTAAAAATGAAGCTCAAGCCAGACATCAGTGGCTCTCACCTGGGATTCTAGCATCTTAGGAGGCTGAGAACAGAAGGATCATGATTTGAGGCCACCCCAGACAGAAAACTTAGTGAGACTCCCTTCTCAACCCAGAGTTGGGGACAGTGGCACATGCCTGCTGTTCCAGGCTACTTGAGAGGATGGGAGTGTGACACACAGTTCCAGGTCAGCCCTGGGAAGAAAACTCCATACTTGGCTTTGTCCCAATGGACAAAGGTGGGCACGATGCACATATCTCCTCCCAGCGATCACAGGAAGGCCAAAATAGGCAGATCATGGTCCAGGCCCATGGCTAGGGCAGGAAATGAGACCCTACCTCAGAAATAACCAGGGAGAGACAGGCTGAAAGTGTGGCTCAGTGGTACAGTGCTTATCTAGTAAGCATGAGTTTAAAACTCCAGTAGGGCCAAAAAACAAAGCACGAAAAACAAAAACAAAACAAAACAAACTGAAGCCTAGGACATGACTCTGAAAGATTATGAGCTGGTGAGAGTTCTGTGTCCCCCATAACATCCCCACCTTGAAACCAGCTGGACTGGGGGAAAGGGGGTCTCCTCTGATGGACAGGGTGAGCAGCAGGCCTTATAGCTCTGAGTATAGACACAGAGGATCCAACAGAACAGACCAACCAGTTACCTGTGTTACCCAGCCCATCCTCAGACTTCTGGGTGGCGTTTGAGGGTTTTAGGGCTGGATGTGGTGGGGGCTGGGTGGGGCGGGGGGGTGGTAGTAGTGCTGGCCCTGGCTTCCTGCCAGCTCTGCCTTTGGAGGTCTTTTTGTGTTGTCCGTGTGTGTTTCTCTGAATATCTATGTGTCTGTGGCTGCACTGTAGCTCTGGGGGGGAGGGGCGGGGGGGTCAGCAGGCATCCATGGCTGGTGTGGCTGAGTCCCTGTGCCTACCCATCCCCCACTAGACAGATACCTGTGAAGCCCTCAGGGTCAATGATGATCCACTCCACGGGGTACGCACGATTGTCCTCCAGCTCCTGCTTCAGGCTCAGAGTGATCTCCTTGGCCGTGTACTTGAGCGAGCTGCAGAGGGCAATGGGCAGTAGGTGATCCTCAGTCCTGGGCCGGGGCCACTGCGGGGGAAGGACCCGTAAAACAAGGAGAACCCATCTAAAGGATGGAGGGGGCCAGAGAAGGAGGTACACCTGAACTTGAGGGAGCAGTTCTGCCAGTCGAAGGGGAAGTAGGTGACCGAGATGGGGCAGGAGGAGCTGAAGATGGCAGGTGGCAGCCAGTATACGTAGCCCGAGTCATAGACCAGCACGTTGCACCAGTAGGAGATCTGGAAGGAGCCGTCATTGCTGGGGGACAGGGACAGGGTCATTGGGAGCACTGGCCGCCACGGCAGGGTTGGGGGGGCAGCAGAGGAAGGGCAGGAGGGCGCCTGGGGCTGGCCGGGCGTGCGGAGAAGGCCTGGAGCGCGTGGGGAGGAGCGTGGGGGGAGGACTCCACTCAACTTGTTCTCCAGCACGATATCTGGGAGCCACACCATGTCGGGCGGCAGGCGCAGGACGCTGATGTTCCCAAATTCATTGACGTCCCACTGGAGCCGGCTGTCTGTCCAGCCCTGGAAGGCCCAAAGACATGTGGGCAGTGGCCTGGGCCACCCTCCTGTCCCCATTTCCCCAGGGGAGCCCCAGCCGGCTCTAGGAGCCAGCCTTGAAAGCATGGGGACGTGTGTCCATCGCGGACAGCTGTGTGGTAAGGTCTGTGTCCATGCCTTTCTACTGTGACTCCTAATGAAAACTAGAATAGAGTCACCATCATGCCAGCGGGCGGGCAGGTGTCGGCAGAGCGAGCAGAGGCTTGGTGGATGGAAGGGCAGCTGGGGCTTCTGTAAGGATGAGGGGTCAGGCCCTCCGAGTGGGACCATGTCCAAGGCGAGCTGGGGTTCTGGATTACAGGGCGCCAGGCCCTGGGCAGGAAGTTCTTACGTGCTCTATCCACACGTTGGTGGTGAGGGTCTCCTCCACTTCTTTCTGTAATCAGACAAGAGGGCTGTCCCTCAAAAGGCCACACCCACCTTGCATCCACATGCATTCACTGGGCACCTAACCCTGCCACCGCCGCCGGTGCCAGGAGCCCTGTGGACATGGGCCAGCCAAGTCCCTGCCCTGAGCACCACCCCTGGGGGTGGGGTGGGGGAGCATGGGGTCACTGAAGGGTGACAGCCCAGACCTGGTGCTGAGGGCTGGTCCCGCAGGGCATGGGGCGTGGGCACCCCTGGGGAGGCCAGGCGGGAGGCGGAAGCTCACCAGGGAGATGAGGTTGGAGAGGGTGAGCGCCAGTGAGATGTCCACGCTGTCCTCCTTGCGGGCCACGGGCCGCAGCTCCTTGTTGTAGCCCTTCTCCTTGAACAGGTACCGGATCAGACGCTCCTCCTCGTTCAGTGCCCAGCTGCCTGAGAGAACGAGGGGTGGGACCCAGCTGGTAATCTGTGCTGGGGCCTGCGGTGCGGACCGAGCCAGGGGAAGTTACTCCTCCCTGGGATGAGGGCCCTGGAGGTCAGACAAGGGGGATGGGGAATAGGACCTGGTCCTGGGAAGGGGCCTGATGGGCGCAGAGGGTGCCCAGGGAGGAGGTGATAGCCACCCTTACCACACACAACCAGGGAGGCCAGCAGTCCCAGTGTCAGCACAGGCCCCTCCATCCTCACCGTCTGGCTAGATCTCGTGTCTGTCCCTTCCTGTCTGCAGACTGTGGAATGGGAAGGGGTGGGGAGAGGGGACAGGTGCAGGCTGGGGGGCGGGGGGGGGGGGGGTGAGCAAAGGAAAGAAGCAGCCGGAAATGCAATCTGACACCTCCAAGCAGGTGATGAGGGGGTGGGGACTGGCTAGCCAGGGCAGATGCCTAAGGACAGGAGGCCGACATCCCAGGCCCAGCTTAGCAGGAAAGCCAGAGCGGTAGAGACACCCAGGCCAGGGCCGGCCTGCCACAGACAAGAACCAGCAGCTGCCACTTGGGAGGCAGAGGATTTGTTAGGACAGCTTCTTTGTGACATCTGCCAGCTGCTTCCGGAGACTGAGCTCTGCCTGTCCATCTCCCATCTAACACCCACCCACACGGGTCCCATCCCCAGAAAGTTCCAGTTTGTGGATTATAAATAACATTTATTGAAGCAGCTTTGACTTTGATCGTACAACGGGGAAGACCAGAGGGGCCAAGGGCTACGGCTTAGTTCTCTGAACCTCCTTAGTCCCTGAGGGCTGTGGCTCCTGCTCCTGGCAGCCTGAGGGCTGCCTGGATGGTGCTCCGTCCTGCGCTTTTCCCCTCCCCTCCCCCACTCAGGGCCCCTCCAGCTCTCCCTCTGCCAGGGCTGCTGATCGGAAGGCCTGCAGGGCCTGCACAAGCAGCCTGGGGAGGCTGCGAGCCAGCGTGGCCGGCTCTAGTCCCACCAGGCCAGGGAAGACCACACGCCGGTCCCCCAGGCCTGCCCGCACCCAGGCTCTGAAGAGTCCAGTCAGTGTCTTGGATCCCAGGTCTGCCAGTACCTGCAGAAGACCCAGAAACCCAGTCCTGAGTGAGAATGCTGGGGTCACCCTCCTGGAGCCTAGAATCCAGGGGTTTGGATTTAGGCTCCCCCACAATCCAGCTATTTCCACTCACCTCTCCACCTCTCCTGTGTGTGTGTGTGTGTGTGTGTGTGTGTGCACGCGAGCGCGTGTGCGTGTGCACGTGCGCCAGCCCTGGGACTTGTACTCAGAGCTTCTTTTGCTCAAGGCTAGCGCTCTACCACTTGAACCACAGCTCCACTTCTCACTTTTTAGCGGTTAACTGGAGATAAACGTCACATGGATTTTCCTGCCCCAGCTGGCTTCAAACCTCAATTCCCAGATCTCAACCTCCACAGTGGCTAGGATTACACCAGACTTTGGCCAAGACACTCCCCACCCACTTCCTGGACACCCTTTGAGCCTCCTGTCCCTCCTCTGCACCCAGGCAGAGCTAGGTGGTCTTTGACAAGCCACTGGGAAGCCTAGAGACCTACCTCGTGGAAGTTCATGGCCAAGTGCTCTGAGGGGAGCTGCAGGACCCAGGCATGGGCCCGCTGAAGGGCGGCCAGCCTCTGCTGCAGAGCCTTCATCCCAGGGCAGTCTGCAGGAAGAAGAGCGGCCCGCAATAGTAGAGAACAGACAGAGGCTGTGCGTGGGGCTGTGTTTTACCGATGGGGAAACGGAGGCTTGGAAGGGTGAAAGAACTCAAAACCCCACCCAGTCTGGTACCCTTGAGGGGGTTTCCTGGGACCCAGCAGTCGGCCCCGGGGCTGCTCGCCTCCAAAAGGCCGGCAGGGGGCGGCATTACCCTTTGTGTCCCCGCGCGGCTCGGGCCTCTGCTTCGCCGAGGTCTCCCCAGCAGCCCGCAGCCCAGGGGAGACGCGGGATCAGGGAGGCGCCTCGCCGGGCGCGGCGGGGGAGGGGGGGGAGCGGGGCTCGAGGGCGGCGGCGGTACCTGAGGGCGTCCGCTGCTCGCGGGCCGAGTGCCCCGGAGGTTCCCGGAGCGCCCGGGCAGGGCGGGAGGAGGCCGGGGCCCGACGCCGCAGGCCCGGGCGCGGGCCGAGCAGGTCCTGGGCGCCCCGCAGCAGGCCCAGCAGCGTGTGCGCCAGCGAGCGGAGCTCTGCGGGCGGGAGCGGGGCGTGAGCGGGCGCCGGCCTGGCGTCCTCCCCGAGGGCTCCCGGGCGCGGGGCGGGCGGGCCGCACTCACCGCACCGCCGCCGGCGCTGCAGGCACTGCTGGTGCGCCCGGCGCGCACAGGCGCGGTCGGAGCGCGGGCACCGGCGGGCGTAGAAGGCGCAGAGCCCGGCGCCGTCGGCGGGCGGCTCCGCGGGCGCGGCCCAGGCCAGGAGCTCCCTGCAGCTGGGCTCGCGGGCGGCGGCGGCGGCGGCTGCGGACAGGCCAGCGGCGTGCGGGGTCACCTCGCGGGGCCCTCGGCCCCCCAGCCCAGCCCACCCCGCTCCGAGGTCGGAGGGGCACCGCCGCGCGCGGGGCCTGGGGAGGGCGCGCTCACCGCTCATTTGCTCCTGGAGCCAGTCCTTGAACACGGCCACGCGGGTGTAGACCCCGGGCTTCCCCGGCTCCCCGCAGCCATCCCCCCAGGAAGTGACTCCGAAGAGGACCTCCCTGGGGCGGGGGCCGGGCTCCGAGCAGGTGAGGGGGCCTCCGGAGTCGCCCTGGGGGACGAGGGGGGGCTCTGTGGCACCGGCCTCACCCCTGCGTCCTGCCCCCCCCCCCGCCCCCCATCAGTCCGAGCTCATACCTGGCACGAGTCCACGCCTCCCGCCAGGTACCCGGCGCACAGCATGGTGCTGGGGCGCAGGCCGGGCCCCAGGGCCCTCCTGCAGGTGTCCTCGCTGAGCAGGGGCACCCGGGCCTCCCTCACCGCCTCAGCCTCCGGCCCGTCTGCGGGGAGAGGGTCCGTGGGAGGGGATCAGGTTTGGAGGCAAGAGGCAGCGACTTTTAGTTTGGGGTCGGTCGTGGCCTTGAACTCGGGGCCTGGGCGCTGCCCCTGCGCTCTTCGCCACTGCGCCACTTCCGGTTTTCTGGGTGGCTCGTTGGAGATAAGAGTCTCCCGGACTTTCCCACCCGGGCTGGCTTTGAACCGCGATCCTCAGATCTCAGCCTCCTGAGCAGCTAGGGTGACAGGCGTGAGCCAGCTGTGTTTTAGGGGATCCCCCTCCACTGGCCTCCAAATCCCCGTTCAGCCCGCAGGGCCAACCCAGGCCCCGACCTGACCCTACCTTCGAAGAGGGCCCCCCAGCCCGCGATGGAGCACGGGGTGCCGGCGGGGGGCTCGGGGGGCCCCCGGGGCAGGCACACGGGGCGCGCCGGGCCCGCAGGGCTCACGGGCGTCCACAGCTGCACCAGGGCCAGGTCGTTGTGGAAGGTCTGCGGGTCAAACTGGGGACGGGGTTCAAGGTCAAGGCGGGGAGGGGGTGGGGCGCTGTTCCCGGCGGGGGGGGCTGCCCCCTCACCTTGGGATGGGGCAGGATGCGGTTCACCGGCACCTCCTCCGCCTGCTCCCCATGGGGCCCCTCGGCCAGAGCCACGGTCCACAGGAGCTCATTGGAGGCGCTGCAGGGGGCGGGGGTGGCGGGAGGAAGGACAGGGGGACAGGCCGATGGATGGAGTCTGTGGCCCTCCGAGCACTGACCCCGCCCCGGGCCTGTCCTAGGGACGGAGGACGGGGAGGTCTGGGTCCCGGAGTGGGCGAGTTGGCGCGCTGGGGTCCGGGGCCCTGGGGTCCGGCGCCCCGGCCTCTGCCTGGGCCCGGTGGGAACGGCGGGACCTGGGCCCGGCGGCCGCCAGGGGGCAGCAGAGAGCCGCTCTCCCCGCCGCCGCCGGGGCACCGGCTGGACCTGGCTGGGGGGGGGGGCAGGTGCCTGGGAGGAGGGGGCGACGTACCCCACGAAGCAGTGGGCAGCCGTGAGCACCCAGGACGCGGCCACCAGGACGCCGCCGCACAGAGGCTGCCTGCCCAGCCGCAGCCGCACGAGCCAGGGCCAGGCCCCCGGCGGGGCCGCGCTGCCCCCGACGATGCGGCCGTGAGCCCGGGTCACGTTGGCCGCACCCGGGAGTCTCTCCCCGCAAGGCCCTGGGATGGCAGGAGTGGAGCCGTGAGGGACAAGTCGTGGCTGGCCGCCCATGGAGGCTCGCCCGTGCTCAGGCCTCCTCAAGCCTCTACTTGGTTATTATTTATCGTGCCCGTACTGGGGCTTGAACTCGGAGCTTGAGCAAGGCCTGAGCCTTGGCTTTTGCTCAGGGCTTTTGCTTTACTCCTCGAGCCACAGTTCCACGTCTAGCTTTACTTATTTATTTTTGCAGCTAATTGGAGATAAGAGTCTCCTTGACTTTGCAGCCCGGGCTGGCTTCGAACTGTGAACCTCAGATCTCTGCCTCCTGAGTGGCTAGAATGATGGTGTGAGCTGGTGGTGTGATCCACAGGGGCCTGGCCCTCCTCTCAAGCCTTTTTAACCTCACCTGGCTCTGAGGGCTCCTGAAGGAAGGAGGCCAGATGCCTGGGGTGTCCAGGTCCTGCTGAGAAAAAGCCTTGTCACTCCTTTGGCCCCTCTTCCTCCCACCTCTAGGCTGGGCCTGAGCATCTCGATTCCCTAGCAGCTCTTCCTGGCCCCCTCCCCACACATAGGCTCCATTTGCACAGCCATGGGTCTCTGGTTCTCCACATGAGCCCAGATTTCCCCCCATTTTTCTGTCTTTGCACACGCAGTGCCCAGAGCCTAGCAGAGAGACCTTCACGAGTCGTGTCTGGGTTGTAACACACCCCATCGATGCCCTCCCCCCAAGATGGCTGGGGAGGGAGAGGGAAATGAGCACAAGTTCACAGGAGGTGTGAGTGTGTGGCATTGTTGGCACAACCTTGGCACCCATGCAGCCTGTGCTGGATCTCCATTGCCAAACTCATTACAGCCCACTGGGCGTTCCTCCGGGCAGCCTGGAGCACCTGTGTCCCCTGAGCCGACAGAACTGTGGAAACACAGGATACAAAGTCATTCTGGGCGGTAGGGAAGAGTCTCAAGGTAGTCGTCTGCCCTAGCTCCCAAGCCTTGCTTTTGTGGGGGGACCACAAAAAAGCAGGGTGAGCTTCCTGAGCACCAGGGAGGTGGGAGGCTACGGACAGGGTGCCGGGCCCCCGGGCTCCCAGAGGCCCAACTTTCAGAGCAGATGTTCAATCGAGGATCCGGCTTGAATTCAACTGAAATCCCTGCAAAGCCCTTGTACTTCAGGCCTTCAGGGAGGCAGGCTCTGGAGCCTCACGCCTGTCATCCTAGCTACTCAGGAGGTGGAGATCGGAGGATTGCAGTTAGAAGCCAGCCTGGGCAGGAAAACCTGTGAGACTCTGTTTCCAATGAACCACCAAGAAGCCAGAAGTAAGTGCAGCTGTAGCTCAAATGGTAGAGCTCCAGCCTCGAGTGTAAGAGCTAAGAGACAGCACTCAGGTCCCGGGTTCAAGCCCCAATACTGGCACCAAGAAAGAAAAAAAAAGTTTCAGAGGAAAAACACTCTTCCAGATGGAGATATTGCAGATCTCAGATCTGGTGACCTAATGTCACCATGGCTGAGGTGTCTTGCCCACCTTTGGACCCAGATGGCCGAGGCATGCTGCCTGGGCCTTCTCCTGGATCTACCTGGAGCCATGTCTAAGTACCGTTGCCAATGCTTGGTGGCTCCGTTTCCAGTGCTCTGCTTCCTGTCTGCTCCTCTCTCACTCCTTTATCAGTTGCTGGCCCCTTGTCCCAGCAAGCGGGCCGAAGGGCCTACAGGTGTGTTCACGTGAGTGTGCCAGGCTCATCTTCATCGATGCCCTCCCTCCTCACCTGTTCCCGGCTCACCTTGCAGGGTGCTGGGGGGCAGACGCATGTACAGTGGGTGCCCGTGGGCAGTCCTGAGGCCTGGCATGGGCAGCAGCAGCAGCAGCACAGCCAGTAGCATGGTGACAGAATCCTCTTTTCTCCTGGGACTCACTTCCCCACGCTTACTCTTTAGTGTCTGCCTCCCATGTCTCTCAGCCCCCACGCGTGGAATCGTTTGCCACTGATATGGAAACTCACTCACTTGCCATGGTCTGCGCTCACCTGGCGATCACCTCCCTCGAGCCCTCCGGGAAATGGGGCTGCGGGGGGCTATATAGAGGACAGGAAGGGGGGTGCGTGGGAGGGCAGCCAGGACCGGCAGAGGGAATGAGGTAGTGGGCTTGACCCTCACCTTTGATGTCCCATCATCCCCGCTCTGAGCCCACTTCTGTCAAAGGAGCCCTTGTTTCTGCGGTTCCATCAAAGGGGCTGAGACAGGGAAGAAGAGCTGACCGTTGGGCCAGGGGCCAGGCAGAGGGGGGCTGGAGGGCAGGGATTGGGAGGGGGCACGCCCCCCCCCCCCCCCCCCCCCCCCCCCCCGCCTGGGGAGTTTACAGCCATGATGGGGGCAGACACTCTTAGGGGAAGATGGGCAAGGGGATGTTTGGGGAGGGGGGGGGTCTTCCATTGCCCCACCCCCGGGAGGAAGCCTCTGAGATCCCAGCCCCTGTGTCCCTAATTGCTTGGCAGCGCCCTTCCCCAGTGCGGCCATTTCTAAAGATGATCAAAGCATCCTAATTAGCGCCGTAATTGCCGCGCTGGAGGTAGTGGGGTGGGAAGAGGCGGTGGCAGGCGGATGCTGGAGTGGCCCACAGAGGAAGCGCGGGAGATGAAAGGCCTCACAGTGGCCCAGTTTGGGGAGGACAGGCCCTAGAAGCTTCTGAGGCTCTCCCAGACCCCGTCCCTCTCCCCTTCCCTGCCCGCTCAGCCTGCCCAGCATTGTTTTCAGTTGCTGTGGTAGTGATCTAGCAAGAGGGGGTCCCTTAGGGAGGGCCACAGATGAGCAGCTCTCCTGGGATCCAGTTACCCATGGGGGACAGGGGTGCCCTTGGCCGTATGGAAAAATGCCCTGCTCCCCAATCCATGCTGGGGAGCCCGTGGCCACGCAGGAGTGTCTGATCTGTTCATCTCCAGAGGCCCTGCGGAGGGACAGCTCCCCGCACAATGCCACCCTCACCCCGGCTCCTCGCGCTTCACAGTCCACACATGCGGGAAGAGGCTGGGCCTGGACCATCGTGAGAAGCTGAAAGTCACACTGGAAATCACTCATTCATCAGTGTCTACCGCGCAAGGTTTCTTCCCCCCCCCTTCTTTTTCTTCCTCCTCCTCCTTCTCTCCTTCTTCCTCCTCCTCCTTCTCCTCTTCTTCCACTTCCTCTTCCTCCTCCTCCTTCTCTTCTTCCTCCTCCTCTTCCTCTTCCTTCTTCTCCTCCCCCCCCTCTTCTTTCTCCTCCTCCTCCTTTTTGTGCTGGTTCGGGGGCTTGAATTCAGGACCTCCTGCTCTTGCATGACCTTTTTTGCTCAAGTCTGGTACTCTACCACTTGAGCCACAGCTCCACTTCTGGCTTTTTGCTGGTTAACTGAAGATAAGAGTCCCATGAACTTTCCTGCCCTAGCTGGCTTTGTACCTCAGTCCTCAGATTTCAGCCTCCTGAGTAGCTAGGATTACAGGTATGAGCCACCAACACCTGGCCACACAGCATTTTCTTTTTCTTTTTTGCCAGTCCTGGGGCTTGAACTCAGGGCCTGGGCACTGTCCCTGGACTTCTTTTGCTCAAGGCTAGCACTCTACCACTTGAGCCACAGGACTACTTCCGGCCTCTTCTGTTTATGCAGTACTGGGGAATCGAACCCAGGGCTTCATGCATGCTAGGCAAACACTCTACCACTAAGCCACATTCCCAGCCCCTCAGAGCATCTTCGTATGCATGACCCTCAAATGCTGGGGCAAGAAAGTCTGAACTCAACACTGCCTACATTTACCCATTTGGCTCCTGAGTTCCTCGGGACCCTATCGAAGGCATGCAGCCAGGCTGTGGCCTCCCTTCTTCGGCCAGAGCCTCTCAGGGTGGGAGGCCTGGAGAGGGGCACCTGTTCCTCCTACTCCAACTCTGGGTAAGAACCCAGACACTGCCCAAGAGTTACTAGAGCCCTTGAAGATTGCAGTCCTGCTCTTCCACGTCCTGCCCCCTCCCCCCCACCCCGCTCAGTTCTCTGGCTTCTCTACCCACCCTGTTCCCAGCGCCTCCTCACCAGCCGCGTCCTCTCCACCCCCAAGTCTGGGTCAGTCTCGTTCACTGCTGTTAGGTTTTTAAAAAGAGGTAGCCGAGTAAGAACAGCACCAGCACGCATGTGGTATTCAGGTAAGGGGTAGGTTTATTCAGTAGACCTGCTGGGACCAGGCAAGGTTGGCACTCCACGTGGCTGGGAAAGGCCTGGGAAAGAGAGAGGAAAGAACTAGAAAAGAGCAGAGAGAGCAGAGAGAGAGAGCAGAGAGAGCTAGAAAAGAGCAGCAAGAGAGGGCCTCTGGGCCTGAGCTAGGCCTTATCTAGGGTATGGGCGGAGAAAGGTGTGGCCACATCAAATTCAGATGTGACCTCAGCGGATGCAGATGTGACCTCTTCCAGGTGTCCCAGTTGCCTAGGTAACGCAGGTACTGGGTGGAGACTTTGCTGCAAGGAGGGTGGACTTTGCTGGCCATTCAGGAGCGGACCTTACAACTGCCCTCAGCAACTCTCTTCAGAACCACATCAGAATCCGTGGCTCCTGACCTCGGTTTGTTATTGTTACTCTCTTCAGAACCACATCAGAATCCGTGGCTCCTGACCTCGGTTTGTTATTGTTATTTGCACCTGCGCCTGCAGTGTAGCCGCTCCTACCTGCTCCTATCACTGGGATATGATAGAAAGATACTTCCTGCCGGGCGCTGGTGGCTCACGCCTGTAATCCTAGCTACTCAGGAGGCTGAGATCTGAGGATCGCGGTTCAAAGCCAGCCCAGGCAGGAGAGACCGTGAGACTCCTATCTCCAATAAACCACCAGAAAACCGGAAGTGGCGCTGTAGCTCAAGTGGTAGAGCGCTCGCCTTGAGCTGAAGAGCTTGAGGGACAGCGCCCAGGCCCAGAGTTCAAGCCCCACGACCGACAAAAAAAAAGAAAGGTACTTCCTGTCACTGTCCTTTGCAGGTCCTTAAGACCTGGAAAACACACACACACACACACACACACACACACGCACACACACACACACACTGGGAATGGGAGGGAAACTCACCCAAGACCTGCCTAGAGCTGCCTTTAGGGGTAGTGTACCTAGTCAGGGCAATGGTGCCTGCCACCATGCCTGCTCTGCTGACCACAGTGTCCTCCTGTTGGTCACAGAAGTGGCCAGCTCATGGCCACCTGAGTGCAGGGGTGGTTGATGTCAGGGCCATTGTGGGAAGACAGGCCACTCAGCCATGATTCAGAGCTCAGATCTAGGGTTCCGATTGCACCCCTGGGTAAACTTAGGTGAGTCACTTCCTGTCACGGGCTGTATGACAGAAAGTCATGTCTCTTCATAAAGATATTCTGAAGGTCTAATGCCCAGTGCCTTGGGACATAACCTTAGCTGGCTATAATGGTGCTGCCTATGTACTTTGTAAAAACAAGGTCATACTTGGGACTTTAGTGCCTCACGAGAAGCACAGAGATGGTTGCAGGGGCTGAAGTTGGGGCAGACACTGGGGGCAGACATATTTGCAAGGCAAAGAATGGCAAGGATTGCCAGCAGCACCGGAAAGCAAAAGACCATGGAACAGAATCTGTCCTGGAACCTTCAGGAGAACAGGCCACGTATCCTTTCCTCCACTTCAGACTTCTGGTTTTCCAGGACAGTCAAGTTCTGTTCAGCCCTCCAGCCATGCTAGCTAGTGATGGCGGCTCTGGGAAGCTGGGACTTTCCCTCCGTCCTCCTGTTCTCATCTGGGAGATGGAATAACATTCACCCAGTCCGGAAAGGCAAAGCGAGGCCTCCACACAGTCTCTGGCAGGGACCAACATTGCCATTTGCGTGATGGGTGTAGATCAGTGCTTTGGACAAACGTGTGGTCTGGCACAGAGCCGCTCTGCCTGGATGCTGAACAGTGGGCCTCAGAGAAAACCAGAGAGAAGGGACATGGTAGTCGCAGGGGGAGAGGCTCCCCAGGGTGTATGTGGCAGCCCCTCAGAGGGCTCCTCTTTCCCATGATGACTTCCGAGGGCTGAACTTGGTCTGCTGGGCCAGTGCCTGCTGGGATCGGGGCGGGGGTGACAAAGCTGGACTGTCCCCTGCATTCTCCTTGCATCTTGAGAATGGAGTAGTGCTAGGCTCTGCCAGGCTTCCTGTGGCTGGGGAAACTCCTCTCGACGTAGCACTACCCGGGCCACTGAACATCACTAGACTTGCTGCCCCTTAGATGTTGTTTTCCAGGCTAGTGCTCTACCACTTTGTGAGACTCTTATCTCCAATTAACCACAGACTTTTCTGCCCTGGCTGACTTTGAACCACAATTCTCAGATCTCAGCCTCCTGAGTAGCTAGGATTACAGTACAGGTGTGAGCCACCAGCACCCAGCTCCACTTCTGGCTTTTTGCTAGCTCACTGGAGATGTGAATCTCATGGACTTTCCTGCCTGGTTTGGCTTCCAACCTCAATCCTCAGCTCTCAGCCTTCTGGGTAGATAGGATTACAACTGTGAGCCATTGGTGCCCCACTTCAGATTTCCTCTATTTTTTTTTAATATAAATTAAAACCAGATTTAATAAATGATAGTGAAATGTTCAATAGGATCGTTACTTGCAGCAATATTTCTATAAATCCATCTCCCTTCTATCTGTTTCAGTGTCAAACCCGACTCCTGGAAATGGTGGTTGTTCATTAATAATGGCTTAATTTCTGAAATCAAGATGTGTTTTCCTATGGTGTTGCTTTTTTTCTGTCTTCTTTGTGCTTTCCTGAATTGCTGATCTTTTCAAAGCAGCAGGTAGCATTTATGAAAATACGAAACATCAAAAGCATTTTAACAACCGCAGGCACCAAGTGAAAACCTTATTACCTTATT